GCCCTTTCATGGCTGGATGAATCACCATGGCTACTTTCTGCTCGGGCTAAACACTGGTAAATGGGAATAAGCTCTTTACTGCCTTCACCGTACTGTGTCTGGGCAACGTCTAGTGCCTTAGGAAATAAACAGAAAGTTGGAAAAACCAATCAGTAATTATAATGATGATGATAGTGACGGTAATGATGATCATGACGAGGAGGAGGAGGAGGACGACGACGACAGTGAAGGTGATGACGATACTGATACTGATTATGATAACCTTCACCGTACTGTGTCCGGGCAATTTCGAGTGCCTTAAGAAATAAACACAAAGTTGGAAACACCAATCAGAAATAATAATAATAATGATGATGAAGATAATAACAAAGGACCCATGATCATTTGGAATTTCTCAGGAAAAAAAAAACCTGCCAACATTTTGAGGCATCAGTTTTTTCATCCTGAAAAGTATTCCGATCAATTCCGAAGAAGTTCCAAAGATTTCCGTAGGAGGGAAGTACTATCACTCAAAGGATTTTTCTTTTCTCGAGTTGGTTCTAGTCTAGTTTATTTACTTTATAAATTTCTCACGAATGTGTAAGTTCTGGCTGTAATAGCGTACATTTTTCCTCACGGTTTAAGAAATTAGTCCGTGGTGTGAGATCGAAGTTTTCGACTTTAAAATTACAGTAATATGAGTTTTTGTCTCAGTTGCCTCCGTGTGTCTCCTCCCTCGTGCGTGAAATTATTCACGCGCGATGGCATAATTAGTTTGCTCTTCTATCCCAGAGCAATGGATTAGGTATTTTTTGCAATCTTGTTATAAGTCAAATTATGTGTTAACTTATCGACTTGATTTGCATCGATATTCTTCGTTTATAGGGCCATTTTCTGTCTCGCAGTCAATACTGGAGTCAATTTTGAGGACGGGAATTTCCGGGATTTTTCCCCTTGGGAACTGCTTGATGCGGATCATAGTAAAGGGGGTAAAATCGTAAAAAACAGATATTACAAAATCTAGAGTACACGGTCAGATAACAATCATACCATACTGTACCTTTTCAAAAGACTCCAAAGCATATCCCGTCTTGTGAGCCTTCAGACTGACCCGCCCAAGTGACATAAGTATTTGGAGTCTCCTCTGCGGATCACGGTATTCAAATCCAAGTTCTTCTCTTTCTCTTGATACTACTTCTGCTTTTTTTAAGGTGTGCTCTGCCTTCTGAGTGCTATATAAAACAAAAGGAAATTACATTGCTTCTACCAACGTTTTTAACATCTTTAGTTTGAACAAAAATTGTTTTGGGAACTGTTTCAGATAAAAAGCCTATACCAAAAACCTTTAGTTTTGTATGAAGCAACAGTATCTATTTCAGTGTTGCATGCTTATTGAAACAGATGGTAATCAAACGTCCTACTGCAGTGCATGTAACCAAGTCAATTTTACTTGCGAAAACATTTCTGGATTCCATGGCATGATATTGATAATTCAGTTGCCTACCACTGGACCTTTCCGGGAAGTTCTCTGAGAGACACCTGAATGCAGTGGTACATCACAGCAGCAACAGTGGTGGTGCATGGTGGTGGCAGCAGTGTTTTGGAAGAGGGATTCAAATGTTTTTCAACAGCTTAAGTCCTTCAACCTCTATAAAACCTTGACCCTAATGCAACCTCACCCATCCAGTATGAGTAACTAAAACATGTACCTCTGAGCAAATCTTCCCCACAAGGAAGAATTTTTCATATCACTACACATCACACTTCCTTGTCATGTGAGTTTGGGTGGCCTGAACTCCATGGTTTATTGTTCAGGTCTGGAGTTAAATTTCAGAGGGTTTTCACAACTTACTTCTTCAAGGCAAGCTGAGCCTGGCCCATTGTGAGGTATATTAACTCCATGACAGGTAAAACATCTGATCTCTCGTAAACTTGTCTGCCTTGTTGCTTAGCTGCATCTGCTGCTAGTAACACATCACGTGCATTTCCAGCATGCAACAGGGCTTGTTGGGCCAATCCTATGAAAAAAAAACAAGAGCCAAAATTGTGATAAGCTGAGTCTTGAATAAGTACTTTTATGAAGAACTCCTGCTACAGATTCCTGCATAATCCAGACACCCCTTAATTAAGGGCAGTTATTCTGCTTCCAAAAATGAGAATCACAGTTGTTCCTAGAACAAATTGACACCTCTGATCTGCAAAATGGACACTTGGATGTGTCTCTTTAGTGTCTGTACTAAGGACATTTGACTCTATAAATATCAAGGATTATTGACAAACTTTCATGTGTGTCCACTACATACACACAACCACCTCTTGACATGAGCTTCATCCTTGAAAATAATGCTGGAACCTAAACAACTAAAATCAGCTTCAGGGTGGTAGTTTAAACATTTTCTTTAGAATTGGCCTCCCATGATCCACCTTTTGACAGGTGGTCTCATCTGCTTCTAGTGCAAATTTTGCAAATTTAAAGGTCAAAGGTCAAAAGAATTTTCCTGGTAAAAAGTGCATTTTGCCCTAATATCCAGCTAGTTTACAAGCACTCAACTCAAATAATTAGAAACAAATAATTCTTAATATAATATAACAGAATTATATTTGCATTCCCTCTCCATCCATTTGCTTATTTCCAAGTTATTTCCGGTTATTTGCTTCAAACTCCAAATAACTCGAACTTTTTCCATTCCCCTAGATGGTTCAAGTTATCGGGAATACTGAAGTTTAATTACAAACTACTTACATAATATGTATTGTACTAAATATACCTACCTCTTATTTCAAGATATGCCTGTGACAACTTGGAATAAGCTTTTGCCAGCTTCCAGTGATTGTCTCCATAAATAATTCTAGTTAAGGCCACACAACGCATGCGATCATACACAGCTCTCTCATCTCCCATGTTGGCAAATTCACGTGCTTGCCTTCTGTAGTTCTTCAGTAGCACTTCAGGTGGGGCCAAACCTGATCAAAACAAAGTAACATCATTGAAAAATACTACGAATAGAACAGAAAGGAGGGTACAGTTGGTTGGACAAACAGCTATGCTAGCACTCACCTCCGGATTCTACAAAAAATACAGGTGCAAATATAATACATACCGTGTTTACCCGCGGATAGGCCGCACCCGCGTATGGGCCGCACCCCAAACTTTCAATGGTTTTCATGGGAAAAAAAAAATAGTGAGGTCGAGTACCGGGATAAATAAACCGAAGTTTGAAATCAACAACAAATTCATTTTTGACAATAATTTCTACATGAACGTGAAAATATTCAAACTATAAACTGAAACGCCTTTTCACTAACATTTTATGTACAGAATACTTAAAGACAAAATCAAGATTCTTCGAAGATATGGACTTAGTGTTTAGTTGTATGTGTTGTAAGTTAGTAACAATTGAAAGCAAACATTAAAACGCCAATTTAGTGTACAACTGTGAGATCTCTTGCATATTAATGAGGTGTCAAAACGCTTGTACCCGCGTAAAGGCCGCAACCCTAATTTTGGTCCCATGTTTTCCGGAAAAAAGTGCGGCCTATCCACAGGTAAATACGGTCATTAAGTTGAGTTTATCACTGGTTCTTGGCAACAGTAACCTGAGAACCTTTTTCTGTGGACCACCACTTTTTTTACTCCCACAAAAACAACAAACAATAATTATTGATGAGCACCCCCCAAAACTGCAGTCATGTGATTGTACTGGCACAGATAGGTTTATTCAGCTTGACACAAAAATGAGGTGTCTTTAAACGCTTGTACCCACGTAAAGGCCGCAACCCTAATTTCGGTCCCATGTTTTCCGGAAAAAGTGCGGCCTATCCGCAGGTAAATACAGTCATTAAGTTGAGTTTATCACTGGTTCTTGGCAACAGTAACCTGAGAACCTTTTTCTGTGGACCACCACTTTTTTTACCCCCACAAAAACAACAAACAATAATTATTGATGAGCACCCCCCAAAACTGCAGTCATGTGATTGTACTGGCACAGATAGGTTTATTCAGCTTGAAACAAAAAACCTGCGAGTAAATAAAGCACATGCATATGTTGTGGTTTAATTTTATCCTTGTTTAAATTTTCTTTTCCTTTGTTTAAGGGTATGGATGAGTTTGAAACAAAGGAAAAAAAATTAGGGTTTATCGTGAATTTGCTCATCTGATGTAATCACGCATAAGTGCCATTACTGAGGGCTTATGTAAGGGGTATCATCCCTTTTTATAGCAAACTTACCGTTGATGTATCCTGCAGCCCTGCTGTCATCTTCAACTGTAATTTCGTTGTCTGATTCCTCAGAAGAGGAATATCTACGCTGCACTGTTATTCCTATGGGTCTGGAGTTGTTATCTGAAGCTGACGGTATGTGGATGACTTGTTGAATAGCATTTCCATGCCTGCCTACAAAAACCATTTTCATGAGAAATTTAGGTGAAACTACAAATTAGGTGTTGCTTAGTGCTTATGATATGGCCTTCTACTATAAATAACATTCCTTCCACCCTCATTTGCACTAAAGAAATGTTACTCTGGGGGGCATTCCATTAACAATCCGAAAGCTCCCTCCCCCCTCCCCTCATGCTGCCCGTCCCTGATCATGCAGACAGTTATGGATGGAAACGAGGCTGGAGTTGACCTTGTTTTGATACAAACCTCCGTGCTTTATTATATCTAATTATGGATCATGTTGTTCTAAAGCTAACTTGTATTTTTTTTAGCGTAATTTACGTGAGAAAAGCAAGAGGTTTGACTCAAAGCAAGCACAACCGGCTCAGCCTCATGTTCACTCAAAGGGCAGCATACTAAAATCGTCTATTCAAGCGGTTGACAAACAGGACATCGCACAAGCGTGCAGTGATACAGTAGTTGTATTAATAACTTTAACCAGCCTTGAAAATACATACCTGGTTGAGTGATATCTTCAGTATCACTTGCAGTGTCTGTTTTGCTGAGGCTCGCGTCGCTTTCCACCGACGGTACGTCCAGTTCCATCAGGTTTCTCTGTCATGCAAGCATTCTAAGTGCATTAGTTTATTCACAAGGTAGAAATCTGAGTAAGATAAAGCCCGGTTTCCCGGCAGATTCCAGCAAAAAATCAATTGACCGAATTTTTAGTCCAAGTTCAGGCATCAGCGGCGCCATATTGTTTTTTTCAACGCGCAGAGCTTGCCGGGAATACTGTTTTGTGTCGTCATAGTAACCGAAGACCCTCCATCTTGACTTCATGCAATCCTTCCGGCCGTGTAGACGATACATCAACATTTTGTTTTGAAACGGAGAGTTATGCCTCAACAAGACGAACCCATTTATTGTTCACAGCAAATCAACATTCCTCCTGAATTGCCAGACATCCTGAAACAGTTCACCAAGGCCGCCATTCGTACCCAACCAAAGGATGTATTGCAGTGGGCCTACGCGTAAGTTAAGATATTTAAAACGTCTAGAAAAAAAAAGACATAACGACTGACGTCTATTTTCTCGTAGGAGAATTGGAAAATTAAAGTTCTAGTAGATAGTTCTAGCCTTTTCAAAGTACGGTTTACTGTGCACCAGCCAGTTAAAGTTATCGACATGACTCGATCATGACAACTGAACTGAACTGTGGACCAAAACTTGGTAGCTCAACTGCTTCCTTTGAAAGTCGATTTACAAGTTTGAAAGTAGCATATATATTTATTTAAGGTACTAAATTTGTGAGGTTTTTCATGTTTCATGAACCTTAATGTTGAGTAGGTGGCAAATTAAATAATCTTCTGAAAGTGGCAAAATATTATTTTGCTGTCTGACAACTCATTTTGACTATGCTGCCTCTCTGTCCTGCGTTGGTACTGTAAGCAACTGTAAGCCCTGGTTTAGTGCCAGGGCCCTAAAATAATCGACTAGAACATGCTACCCTTTTTCGCTCCTGCATATGGTTAGAGGAATTTGCGTGTGTAGGAACATGAAGGAAGCTTTTGACCATATACATGCACATTTTATTTTGATTGGATACACCTGCAAATTTGCACTATAAGTAATGAAATTGGGCTATTGCATTTAATATCCGCACGCCCAGGTTGAGGAACCATGGAATTCTCCGGAGTAAGTTATAAAAATTGAGAATTTCTTTAGCGGTAGAGTTAAAAAGTGTGGAATTCTTTGGGGGTGAAGCCTTAATTTTCACGAAATTCTTCACGGGTAGACCCGTATTCTTCAGGGGTATGGCCCAATTCTTCAGGGGTAAACCCATATTTTATGGAAGTCTTCAGGGGTGAATGCAATTTTAGCCAATCTTCAGGGGTAAGAAGAAAAAGTCATTTTATAAGTCCTCAACCAGGTGTGGCGGGTATGGACATAAAATGCAATAGTCCATTACAGTCAACTCTCTCATGGTGACCACACTTCTCAAACACAACCACCTCCCATAAGCAACCACTCTGTAAATAACCAATTTGTTTTCAGTCAAATACTGTTTCAAAAGCTCTCTTGTAACTAAGCGACCACTTCTTAGATATTTTAAGGAGCCATGGCCAGAAATTTGACATATTCTTTTGTTTTCTTTTCCCATAAGTGACCACTCAGCATGAACACATATGTTTATAAAAAAAACTTTGCTTCAAGGCTGCAAAATTTAAGTTTTTAATAGTGCTGACCCTTCTTGCTGACAGATTATAACAGTTAACTGAAGATGGCTGTAATATGATCTGTAGGTAAATTAAGTGGATTGTTAAATTGATGCAAAGTGTTATGCACAAAGTTTCAACGGTTCCATGCGCTATTTTATGTGTGACATTATTGCCAGTTGTCTATTTGCCTAATTTTGTAAGGTAATAATTTATGTAATTGCCTTAATCAGTTTGGTTTGAGCTTATTTTCCTGATTATTCCTGTAGACAACCACCTCCCGTAAGTGACTACTTAATCGTTCACCAAGGGTGGTCACTTATAAGAGAGTTGACTGTATTACAGAAACGAATTATATAAAATAATGTATTATTAAGGAAGCTGGTAGGAGAAAGATTTATGTCTGCAATGAAATCACTGTTTTTGCAATTTATTTCCACCAACCCATATCAATCTATGTAACATCTAGTCAGGGATTCTGATATGTTGCAGAAAAAAAGTCAAATTTTGCAGGATTTTTAGAGACAGATTTGCCGAAAAGTCATCTGTTTTTGCAGGAATTTCGCTGAAATTTTTGGGCTAATTAACTTCGCCGAAAAAATATCAGTAAAAAACGGCCAATTTTGTGGGCAAATTTCGCTAGAAATTGATCAATTTTGCACTAATTTCATGGGCGTGTTTAATGTTTTTTAACAGAGATAATCATTTGCTATTTTAACGACAAAGCATTTGAGAAATGAGCCAGTTTTTCGCAACATAATTTACACCTGGTAGTTTTGGGACATTGTTTGCTTGTTGTGGTGATGAAGTTTCAAGATAGATTTGCAAGTTTATGGCAACTAAACAGTCCCAATAGCCAAGATGAGTTTTAGATATGTTGTATTGACATGTATCAGTCAAGATAAGATTTCTAGCAAATTTCACAGTATTTAGCGTGTTTTTGTGAATTTTATGGGATGTCACGGATTTACCTGAATTTCATGACTCGGGGACCATGCAAAATATCAGAGCCCCCGCCTAGTTGTCACAAAAAGTAAAAATGTCCAATCAACCTCTTGCTTAAATTTGAAAATAAATTTTATTCAGGTGGAGGCTTTACTCTGTAAACATGGCTAGAGTCCCCTTCAGTAGCACAGTAGATAAAGTGCCCAACCAGTGTCCAGCAGAATAGAGGTTTGAATGTTTTTGGGGACTAATTATTATTTCCCTGTCTTTTTTTATATTTCACATGGTATTCAATACTTTACAATTTGTAGGTACTTTGATGCACTTTCCAAAGGTGAGACACCCCCAGTGAAGGATCGTCTTGAGTTTCAGTTAGGACAGCCCTTGGAAAAACCATTAACGCAGGGGCTACTGGCAGTTTTACACAAACAGGTATTTTCTCTCCCTCTCTTTTTCGTTTAATTTACAACAACAATGTCTTGACAGCAGTGACAAACAAAATCTTAGTCAGAGTCTTGAGGTGTGACAAGCATCCCGTGCTATTTTGAGGCCACCACAGGAAAGTGTTTGTCCTGGCGGATTCTCTTTCTTACCCAATTACTTATCAAGTCATTAATATATTATAATATTTTTTCAAGACACGGGTGATAACGAAATTGTAAAATCCAAGATTCACTGAAAATCTACAAAACACTTGTTTGAAAATCTTAGACAGCTGTGTGGTGTAAAAAAGAAACCTCAAGACAGAAAAACCATGTAATTAAGGAAGAGTTGATCAATCGTCAGAGATGCCTTTGAGATTTCATGTTTAGCCTGCAAAGGGCAGATGTTTCTCCTCGCTCTTCGCCGCTCAGAGACATTTCGTGAGGAGGAACGTCTGCGACTCAGCGACAAAAATCCGGTCAGAAGCGCTAATTGGTTGACGGAGTAGTTTCATTGTTTTAGCTATTGTTTACGAATGACAGACAAAAGACAAATGGCCACAAAGGTCAAATGGAATCTCTAACAAAATAGTCAATATTTGAAGAATATAGTCTTCTCCAGAAGAGGCATTTGAGGCATTTTCTGGAGCTCATTGTCAGATGAACACAACACTTTACCAAAATCGACCAGGAGAAACAAAGAATTGAACAAATTTGCATTTGGAACCCCATCACTACCGAATTTATTATGTAAACATTGATTTACGTCATCAGTATGGAATTTCTGTTGCTGAGTCACAGACGTTCCTCCTCGTGAACCGTCCCTCAGCAGCGATGAGCGAGGAGAAACGTCTGCCGTTTGCGGTGTATTTCATGATCAGATCAAAATTTTCTATGATTCGTAGTTTCGATGTTTCAAAGGTATTTGCCATTTGCTATTACTTAATTAAAATAAAATTACATTACAAGTAATCTTGTGCCTTTTTTATTTTATTTTGATCAATACAAAGAATGTTTTAATTTTTTTAGCTGGGTGGAAAGCCCATAATAGAGCTATCATCCTTGGAGGAGAAATGGAAACACTTGTCACTTCCTAAAGACACTTTGAATGAGCTTCTGAGGTAAAACCCTAAACATTTTATTCTATTTTTCCAATTTTAGATTTCAGGTGGATTGTACTTAATAGGGTGCATTAATTTTACTGATCATTTATTCCCAGAAATAAAAATAATATGCAAAAGTTTTGTTACAAATCTACTTTATGGTGATTTTTGAATTACGTAAACCCTCCATATATACGCCTTGCGGTGTTATTTCAAGTAGATTTCTGGATATTTTAATGCACTGACTTCAAAAACAAATGATTTCTAGAGTTTTTGCATTTATTGTTTTCTGGAATATGGTCGATTGAAGTCGTACCCTAGCCCTTATAATATAAGTTTGTTGACTTTATTCCTGACTGTGTATGTTCTAGTCAAAGGGTCTTCTTCTTTGATTTTCTTACAAACTGCTCTTAACTGCCTGGTGTCAATGCTGATGTACATGTAATACTTTAAATGTTTTTCAGAATGGGAAGTTTTGCTGAGGAACTGAGGTGGCTTCATTTTTTTGCCCTTGCATGTAGTGCTATCAGTGAGGTATGTGTTGTTGTGGTTCAATTTTATCCTTGGTTTAAATTTTAGTTAGTTTTTATAGAGCGCGCGAGGGGGGCACAAGCGTCCGCGTAATTTCTCGCTTCGCCCTGAAAAAACCCGTGCCTGCTACACAGGCTAAATCTCCCACTGACTCATTTTAAAGTAATTTGTTATTAACCTGTTTATTAATCATCATAACAAATTATCTTGTTAGCTTATATTGAAACTTAAGGAACTGAAATCTTTTAGTGGACGTAGTATTCTTGACATAAAAGAACTAAATGAATTCTCTCTTGTAGAATCTGACGTTGGCAATGAAGACAGTTTGTGAGATTTTAACAACAGATCTAGAGGGTGGAGCTGCAAGGATTTCTTTCTCGCTTTTCAAGGAACTGTTTACTTACTTAGCTGAGATCGACGGAGAAATACCCAAAGAACATGTGGACACAGTTATCGAACATCTCAGTTATGATGTGTGAGTTATTTCTAAACACACTTGACTTCACTTCTTAGCCTGTATTGCTAGCATCCCTGCCCAAGCTAAGAGCAAAAGTTACCCTTTAGATATATGTCTGAAAAGTTACAGGTTACCTAATTTTAATATGTTCTTTCAGTTCCTGCTAACAAAATTTTTCAAAAGCGAACTGTTTTCGCGTTTTTAATACCGAAAGTTGAGCAACTAATGCAAAAGGCCTATTGTATTTTATAAATACAGATTTTCAACACACTAAGTAATCTCCTTTTCAAGATCTCAGCCTCGGGTTTATTCTTATAATATTCTTAAAATTTTGCAAATTAATAACCCGTGCGCACGGTTTGATAAAGCTCCGCCATGCTGTCGCGAACAGGCTTACTTGTGTGAGTTGTGCGGAGCTGCCAAAATTTTCCCCGAACTCAAGCAAATGAGTCTGCTCGCAGGCTTCTGTTGCGGCATGCCTCGAACTATCAGGAACGAGCTGGTAACAAAGACAACCCTCTGGCACAAAGGGTACAGTCTACTAAAACACCCTATAGCCTTCCTACATCTCGTAAGATGACGACTATACGGTAGTTCCCGATAATATAAACTCTGTTGTTCCCATACTGGTGATCGAAACGGAGGAAACGTTTCTTTTCAGTAACTTTACGAAACTCTAAAAACTTGTAGTCCGAACAACGCACAAGACGTAAAGTTGCAAAGCCTTTTAAAATAGCTGTTGTGGCTGATATGAAACGCCACGCTTTTTATGTTGTATTTCACTTGAAAAAGAAATGTAAGATGCTTAATAATATGCTTTTTTTTCAGGGAAAAGCAAGATGGACAAGTATCCCCTCGTAACTTTATGAGTGACAGCTGCCCTCCTCTATCCCCTAACGAAAACTCAGCGTAGAATTTTATAACAACTTGTCTTCCTTTTCCCCTACCGAGCAACTGGCTAGTTCATTTATTCGGTACAGTGTTTTACAGCCCAACTGTCATTTTTACTTGATCCATTAATACAGCATTATGAACTCTGTGATGGTTTTTCCTGTCCAGTACAGAAATTGTGGCTTCTGTTTTGGCGTTAAAAGGTTTAAACACGCAAAGAACATGTCGCCAACATACGTTTTAGAAATCCTCTTTGCTACGTGTATATATGAAAGAACATTCTTCGCTGAAGCTACAATGTAGCTCACTACATTGCGTAATGGTATACTACAATTTTCAGGAGCTAAGCCGAAATTTTACGAAGCTAGTGGTGATTCCGACGGCTTAAAAGCCTCAAAAACATCAACGGCGATGGTTAATGCGTTCAACGAACCAGACCGGCAACTATTCCATTGTACATATACTGATGTAATAAAGATACCTATAGCAATTTATTTGATATTGTTCTATTGTATTGAGTTTCAGGAAAAGAAAAATCTTATGGGGGTTCACATAAAACAAGTTGGATGAAATATTTAACCTCAGTTTTTGATAAAGTTATGGTTTAAAAACGCAAGTGCCACCTTCAATCCTCCCTAGTCTGGTTAGAAATTCTCGGAAAGCAGGTTTTGGGGTCGGATGTTTCTCAAATGTTTCAATTTTTCATTGACATTGAACAACGTTCTTCTTATGATTTAACTTATTTTCGCTATATAATAACAAGCTGTAAACTACGAATTAACGCTCGTTTCGGCAATCCGTATTGAACTCGTACAATTCAACCTTGTGCATTGAAAAGTCAGTTTATGCGAATGCAATAGCTTGCGATCAGGTGTAGTCTTCTCCATTTTTCCCTTCTTGATCCATGCCTCGTTGCAAGGCTGTTTTTGTCTGAGAGACAACCGACATTTCGCGACGTCACAGTGGTTTTTCCGCTGGTAGGGTCGCAAGTCTATTTATTTCTCAGGCTAGGCTGTTTAACTTTTGTATTTTGTTTTGTAATGTTTGTTGGCTTGTTTGTTGCAATTGTTCTTTTTTTTTTTCGGTAAGGGGGAGATTTCTTAGCAAATGCTAGGTGCAATGGTGTAAAAAAGTACTGAAGCTGTCTAGAAAAACTAGGCACTGATGCATCTTTTAAACACTACATGTGCGACTGCGCAGAGACACCTTACACGATTAGCCTGAATTTCATCCGATTACTTCGAGTCGTTATTACTCCAAGTAATCGGATGAAATTCAGGCTACTTACACGATGTGGAAACGGGATAAATTTGACCCGCCAAAGCATTTCTTGGTGTAGTTGGCGGCGCAAACATTGTCTACGTGCCCTTTGGCTTTAACGGTAGGTTCTCACACGGCCAGAAAGCGGGAAAGTAGTAAAGGCAGGAGGCGGCTTGCATTTTACCCTTGCTTGGGAAATTTTTTTTCTGCTGGAAACAGCCTTTTCATTAAATTGGCCCAGTAATTAAAATAGTCGTTTTATAAACCGTCTCAGTTTTCGGATAAGTTGCATCATTTTTGGTAACTTCAATGGCTCCTCCAACGTAAAGCGACTGGGGTGCTCTTCGTACCTTGGGGGAATTCGAAACAATTTGTGGATAGATACCGCTTAGGATTCTTAAATCTAAAATGACCACTATAACACCTGTCGCGTTAACTTCCAGAGTCTTTTAATGGTGTCTAGCACAAAAATGCGGGATGGGAACTATTTCACTCAAAGCCACGCCCATAAACCAAGCAAGCGGCAAGCGCGCGGTTTTCTTGGATTTTTTGCTGGCGAATAGGTCATTTTTATAGTACACTCCGTGAACCCGAGTGTGATATCGGCAAGGCGAGAGATCAGAATTTTTTGTTTATTGAATGAATTTTTCAATGCTGGGCCATCTTTTAATACGGAGAGTACACCTTGCTGACCAGTTAGTCGTCCAGTTGGTGTGGCGCTCGCAGGCTACGCTTTTTACCCTTCAACTTCGTCCGAGAAGGAGGTTAGCCAAGGTTCTTCTAAAGGACCTTCTGCCTGCGTGGCAGAGAATATTTGAGCGCCAAAAAAGTCAAAACGGCAGACAACCAATCAGCAAATGACAAATACTCGTAAAGACCGCTGAATTACCCAGAGAACCTTGCGTGCCAAATTTCTAAGCCAATCTTCAAAATGGCTTCCGTAGAATTGTTGCACATTATAACAACTTTAATGTGTTTAGTTCCTTTTTCTTTGTCCACAGAAGCCGGTGAACGTCATGTTAAATTTCAATATAAACATAGTTTTAAAGGACCGCATCTAGTTAATAAAGAAGGAAACATTCCTTTTTGGACTCATGGTGGAAGTAAGTGGTCTCTTTTTTGTTGGTAATTTTTTTGTCTACACGTGTACAGCTGTACATGGTCGCCTTGGCGTTTTTCATGTGATCTTACTTTAAACTCCTTTTAGGTGCCATACCTAGTGATGATCAAATTAGACTGACTCCTTCAATGACGAATAAAAAAGGTTAGTTTAAAAGAACAATTTATATTTTATGAACAATCTATCGAATTTAAAACTGATCAACTGCTATAATTACATTGTTGGTCAAAAATTGAAGCTTGAATTACTACATACAAAATTTGTCACATATGCTATTACCACAGCTGCTTTCGAGTTTTTTTCTGTAGGGTTAGCGTACCGTGTCTGGTTTGATTTCATGTTTTTATTATGTCTATTGTGCCATTAAAACATTTCTATTGGTATAAACAAAGGTAGACCATGGCTTCCTCTCATTGTTAAACGAAAATAAAATATATTAAATATTTTTATGTCTAGGACAAATGTTAAAAGTAGAAGCTTAAACAAAATGTTGAATTTAAGGAATAGTGAAATCAAAATACAATGAGGTTTCATTTTTGTGGCTCTTTTTTATCCTTTGATTCAATTTTTTCCCTTTGCTCTAAAATCACTATCATATTTCAGTATACCTGAATTTCAAGGGTCTCCTCGAGTCGGAAATTCAGGCTAATTTCGTTAAACTGAAATGCAAGGGGAAGAATATAAAGCCAAATGAGCCACAATATAATACATTGAACTGCATTAGTGTCCATAAACAGGTCAGAGTGCAAAGAAAGTACTGTCCGATAGCCTCGGGCTAGAGGAATTTGCTATCTGGCTAGTGATATTTGTTCTTAGCTTGCCCGATGGGCAAGTGAAGTTTTTTGAGAATTCTAATTACAGAACGAAGGACTGTGTATTCAAACCTGCTCATCAAAAAGCTTTTACGGCTAGTTTTACAGTGATGTTTGGGCTAGTACATGCTACATTGTAGCTACAGCTAGCCCAAATGGCAAGCTGCAAAACGGACTTGATCTAATAGAATTTGATCTAATAGAATTTGATCTAGGTGTAATGATAGATGACGACAATTGTTCCAATTGCATCCTTTGTAAAAGAATTAGAAAAATTTAGTTAATAAAGTAATCAACTATCAATCATCCAAAAAATTGATATAATATAACAATCCATTGATATTAACGTAGGAAACATTAAGAATTAGGAAACATTAAGAATTAGAACAATTATCAATTATTTCATTAGTAGATAGTTAGTAGGATTTTAACTATATTATATTGTTAGGTAACTATATTATTTTGTTAGGTGTCCCCAATTAGTAGAGGGGTTCTTAACCCCATTGGCTAGACATTTCCAAGACACATTAATAAAGTTTATGTATGTATGTATGTACTTTCTTTGCACCCTGCAGGTAGTCTGTATTAATGTAGGTCACTAATATTATCGCTATTCCCAGGCTTGAAAATTGGCTGTATGATGGGATTCCACTCTAGCTCAACTTCCATTTAACAATTTAGATGTCAAATATGATATGATATTACAAATGAATAATTGTGAAAGTACACCCAATTATTGGAAGATGTACATGTCCAGTACCTTATATACTCCCACCCTACCTATGATAAAGCCGCTGGCACCACCAGGCTTAATGCTGTTGTGATAAGAGATCAGAAGTCACTGAAACATTTGCTATTCCATTTATTACTACCAGTGTGTTTGCAAATTTGACTTGAGTTCAAATTCACAGGAATACTAATGATAAAAAACCTGTGATGGTTTTGGTTGCCTGCATTCATGTTTTCTTAGGTGGGTTAGTAATAAATTTGACTGCCCCTTGGTTAGCTCAGTTAGGAGAGCATCAGTCTGCTGAGCGGAAGGTCATGGGTTCAAACCCCGGCCAGACCAACACTCAGGGTCTTTAAATAACTAAGAAGAAAGTGCTGCCTTTGTAATGACATCTGCAAATGGTTATACATTCTAGTCTACTCATATAAGGACGAAAAACTGCAGGTCCTGTCTCATAACATTACTTATCTGGTCCTTGTGGATGTAAAAGAACCCACACAACTGTTTGAAAAGAGTAGGGGATATAGACCCTGGTGGTGTGGCCAACCTTTTCTGGGGTGGGTGGGTTATCTGTAAGGAGAGATCTTAATATAGGGATAACCTCCTGAACGTCCTTCAAAAACAGTGTATGTACGTAAATTCATCTCAGGTAGATATAATAACATATGACACTATCACACACTGTCAGTTATTTTCATATGATATGTGAATGTGTGTGACAATATTAAGGGGACCATTATGTATTTACCCAACATTTATTTTAAACCTTTTTTTCCATTTTGGATAGGTTATGTTTGGACAAAAAATAGCTTTCCGCATGAATGGTGGGAGATAGAAGTTGCTATCAAAGTTACTGGCATAGGAAGATTAGGTGGAGATGGAGTGGTAAGAAAATCACTGCACATAATTATCATGTTTTGATGATTGCTGATCTTCTTCTGCTGATGGCATAGAGAAGCTTTAACCCTGTAAGCCCTAAGAGTGATCAGCATCAAACTTCTCCTTGTAATATCAATGCTTTGCTAAACAGAGTGGTCATGAGAATCACATACATGATCACTCAAGATGAATTTGCTTGATATTTTATTAACTTATTCCCGCTACTTCTGTAGGAAATGAATAGGGGCAACAAATGAGAATTCATATTTTGATCTTAGGGCTCAAAGGGTTAAGAAATATTAAAACATAGGGGTGTCACTGAGGGCTGTGGATTGGGACTTTTCCTGGCTACTATAAGCTTGACCCCTGGCTTCTTTGCAAGAAACAAAGGGAAAATCGAACTACAAGGGCTTTCTAACTGTTCAATTCCCTGCCTACTAATTGCATATGTACCCAGCAACTTGAAATCTTAGTGTTAGTCCTGATAGCACCATGGTCATTTGTGATCAGACCACTTGGGTAACAAATTTAAGTTTGTACAATGTGGACAAAGTTTGTAGTAACAGCAAAAATGTACTAATAACCATCAGCTATTTAAGTGCTACTTGTAATGCCACATCCCACATTCCTGTGAACAAAGGCACTGACTCGGGGCTTGAGTTGACCAAAGACAGCTGTGATTTGTATGAAAAAAATGAGCTTTAGTAGCCTGGAACATTGTTTTACTGTCACTTGAATCTGCCCTCTTGTCCAACTGGTGTTCCATTCACTCTTGCTGAAACCCCTCTCCTTCTCTCTTCCTTAATACAAGTACTATGGACCTTTCACTTGTCCCTTTTCATGGAAACGTATCATAAATTATTTTAAGTATTTCATATGAAACAATTATTTTATTAGTACCATCAACTATGTCTTAAAGGTCACCCTTAAAAGATGAACACCTCCTCAAACAAACACATTTAAGTGGTCCCTACTGTTTTTTGATTATATTATTTGACTCTCCTTAGGGTGGGACACCACTCTGAGACAAACAGTTATGGCCTTTTCCAATGGTCTCTGTCTCAAATTTCCCTTGCTCTTTGCAGTTATGTCCTTTAAATTTAATGCATTCATTGGATGTTCTTTTGGATTATTATTTTTTCAGGCCATGTGGTACACAGAAACAGCTGGAATTGAAGGTCCTGCATTTGGAAATGTAAACACTTGGAAGGGTCTTGGTATTTTTTGCGACTCATTTGATAATGATCAACAGGTATGGTGAAATTTGGGTGGCAGCCAGCTCTTTTATATTAAACTATCCCTTATTTGTGGATTAATAATAGATAGATATTAAGTTTGTCTTTTTTTGCATTTTTGTTGTGTTGTTGATATTGTAACAATAAAAATAATATTATTATTTTCCAGGGAAACAACCCTTTCATTTCTGTAATGATGAATGATGGAACTAAAATCTATGACCACAATAAGTATGTTCAAAGTAATAAGTTGTTATTAACTTTTTTTCTCATTGCTCGTAGTTGCTGTCAACAGTTTTATTACTAATTATGCTTAAACTGAAAAGTCACCAAGAAATCTAAATTTGTTTTTGCAAAATCGTAAGAAACAAATGGTGCATTGTTTAAGGTATGCTAAAGAGGTTTCATTTGACTGGTAATGCCGAATGATTTTGTCTAGAGCAAAAAAGTCTCACCAGTCTACATGTATGAGACAGTGGTAGGGTTTACTGAGCAGACCTCACATTCCTGCTCCCATATATTCTCTGTTTCCAACAGTACAATGTCCTGTGAAATATAAATAAACGAGAAATGCCTGTCTGGTAGGTCCTTGCAAGGCTCAGGGGAATGAACTAACAGTAGTAAATAAAGGGGAGTGGCACAAAAAATCGAAAAGAAAAGTTTTTTGGTTTTTCTGGAGGGAAAGATTTGGTAATATTGGGATAGATTCTTTGCATTGGAAACCCTGTGATCTTTCTATGCCTTTTGGCATATCTGAATGTTTTAGTATATGCATCAATATGAATGTTAGCTGAGAATTAACACATTACTTTAACATTGATATAGTACAAAATTTTCTTGTGTTTTAGGGATGGACAAGATCTTCAGCTTGGTGGCTGTTTAAGAGATTTCCGTAATCGTCCCAATCCAGTCAGACTGAAAATTCGCTATTATGAAAAAGTTCTAACAGTTAGTGTCAGGTTGTTTATGTTGTGGTAAAATTTAATCATACCTATCATACTTAACCATATCCAAGAACAAGAAAAATATAATTCAGACCAGGGAAAATATTATTAAACAATAACGTTACATAAAAATAATTGTAGCTGACATATGTACTGGTTGTCACAGGTTGGATACTGAGGAATTGGCTGTTATTTAGTTTAAAAATTTAAACAATTTAATTAATTAATGCTGTCTCTCATCAGACTCCAAAACCACACCAGTCACTGCTTAAGCAATGATGTGAATCTTGCTGACCAAGGCTGTGGTTTTTTTTATCTCTTTTGTTTAGCTATGGGTGCATATGGGTATGAGTACCAAGCCTGAAGACTTTGAGCTCTGTGCACGACTTGAGAACATCAATCTGGCAAAAGGAGGTTATTTTGGTTTATCCGCAGCCACAGGAGGATTAGCAGGTCACTAAACTTGACATCCAAGTCTTTTGGGATATTTTAATGTGACTTTTTTCAGAGAGGAAAATGCATTTGAGAGTGATCTCTTAATCAGGGTTCTTCAGAAAATTTAGTAGATTGGATTGAAAGGCACATTGTGCTTTTCAAGCGGTGCAATGTGGACATACCGCATTTCCTTGAATAGGCACTAATAAGCTCTAATAAGTGCCCTCCCCCAAATAAGCACTTACTCTCTAGGCCTTAATATCAAACAAGTGCCCTCCCTCTAACAAGTGCCCCTCTCACCTCCCCATCACCCTCTTAAAGAGTAGGGATACAAGAGGAATGTGATGATCTGCAAATCATTGATTCGCGAGGATGATTAAGTACCCTCCCTCCAATAAGCTCCCCTCGCTATACCCAAAATTTTAAATGGGTGCCTGGGCACTTATACAAGGAAATACGGTAAGTAATGGGAGTGGGTTGTGCTCCCACTTTGGGAGTCTGGGGACTTCCTGACTTCCCCAGTAAAATTTTTATGTTGGGGGCTCTTAAAAGTGCATTCCATTATCAAACAAAAGTGCTGATGCAGGACTCAAAAAAAGTCCAATCCATAGAAAGTAGAAAGTAGATTTCTAGATTTTTCATTCAGGGCAAGTAATGTTTAAACTTTACTTGCTAATTGCCCAATGGGTAAGGGTCCAGGCAAGTCATCTTCTAACAAAATCGTTAACTATAAAGACAAGCAAGAATTGGCCCCAGGCAAGAATAATGTGAGAGCTGCTTACCCAAAGGACAGGCTTGAATTCAAGTTTCTTTAAGCTAGTAGCTGGGGCTTCTGTGTTGACTTTAAAGCTGCAATTCCTGGTTGCAGGAGCTTCCCGGGAAATTCTGCTCAATACCCTGTTCTTTCTGCCTTCTCTTTTTACTTAAGAATCGAATGTACAAGTGGATATACTACTTTTGGAGAATACTGAATCAGCAGTAACCTAATTAATGTACAGTAGTGGGTGGTAATTGCCCCTTGTCAAGTTTTTCAATTTTTAAATGTGTTGTATTAATTGTTTGCAGATGACCATGATGTAGTGTCTTTTATAACCCACTCACTTACTCCACCAAAGAAGGAGGGAGAGGTAATCACTGTTGTATTTATAATGTCTCAGTGATAGACAGGTCTACAGGTAGGTACATGTAGGTAGGTAGGTAGGTAGGTAGGTAAGGAGTTGCTATAGGTAGGTATGTAGGGTAGGTACCGGTAGGTGGAAACAGAGGTTTTGTAGGGAGGGAGGAAGGGAGGTACCGGTAGGTAGGTATGTAGGTAGGTAGGTAAGGCATCGCTAGGTTGGTACTTGAGGTAGGTAGGTAAGGAGTAATCTGTTGTCAGGTAGGTACACAGAGTCATTATTTAGTGAAGTTAGTACATAACACTAATAAAATAACACTAATAAAGTCTAACACTAATAAACTTCCTGCCTTGATTTTAAGTTGCATCTGAATTAAATACCTGCCTTTTTTCTTTTTTCCAGGGTGAAACCGGTATGAGTGAAGAAGAGCAGAAGAAGCTTACTCAGCAATATGAGGAATATCAAAAAAAATTAGAGCAACAGAGAGAAGAGTAAGTAAACATCTAGAGGTCTATTATCAATGCTGCATTCTGATTGGTTGAGCTACTACTAGGCTATATGTTATAGCCCACTAGTAGCGAAAAGCACCAGCTTTGAAAACCAATACAATGGCGCCTGAATCACGTTGTGCTAGTTAAAGTTGCTTTCTCTCGATATTTTTGACCAACTAGTTGGATTTTACTAAAACAATATTATTATTCCTCTCGCCCTCATGGCCTCTGAGTCAATAGCCCATTTGGCCTTCGGCCTCATGGACTATTGACTCACTGCCCAAGTGTTTTATGTCTCTGAGGAGTGTTCGAACATAGTGCTTTTGCATGACTTCATAGCTTTTTGTTTGGATTCATCATTTCCCTCTCAGTTGAGCATTAGTTAGAAGAGAATTTGTTTTACCTTTATGACTTTTGGCGACCTAGGGGTTGTCATGGGACATGTCATACTGAGTTGTGCCATAGTTTTCTCATATTATACTAGCACCAGATGGGTCAAAAGCCTTAAATTCAGTGATTCTGGGTCATGTCTAATACCGGCAAGGTGTGGCTTTGTTGCAATAAAGCACAAAGAAACAATGGCAAAACTGTCAATTTCAACGGTCCCTTGGGAAGAAATAACGTCATGCATGATTCAAAATGGTGACTCTCATTTGTAACACTATTTTGTTTATCTCAAAGGAAGAATGTCAATGAGAGAGAATGGACTCTCAGGGTTAAGGGAACAATTAGTAAAAAGAAAGATATTCATTGTGATCATTTGCATCTGACCTTGTCCTTCAATTCATCAGCATACTCAGCAAATTTTTCTGTTTCCTTAAATATATGTCTTAATCATTTCGATTTTTGAGTCTTAAATCATTGTTAAATGTTGTTACAGGTACAAAACTGCCCATCCTGATAGAGTAAAGGCACCAGAAACACAGGTAATTTAACAACAAACTTAAAGCAAATATTAAAAAAAATTCATCTTTTTAAAATGCCTAATACTTTGACCCGTCCAGTCATTTCGGTCGGAAAAAAATGAAATGCCCCTTTTCATTTGACAAAAGTGTTGTCCTCAGTACTGCTCTTTTGTATCCTGCTTACAAGAACAATAACCAAACACGCGGTGGCTTGGGTCGGGTCTGTGCAACCGGAATATACCGTTCCATTGTGCAGGTGGAATTTCCGAAATTTCAAACCGGAATTTTTGTTGAATGGAAAGCGCCCAGGGTTAAAGTTTGGGCCTCTTTGAAATAGTCCCAGTGTGCAGTTCAATACAATTTGCCACTTTACAAGCCAGAAAGAAACTGGGATTGTAAACTAGGGACAGGGAAAAAATTGGCCAATAGCTGACTGGTGTGCTCTTAGTAACCATCTCAGAAACAACTGCTCGCTCCAGTGTCCTCTTTTGAAAGTGGCGAATAAGGCTTGTTCGTTTTAGCTAGTGGGAGAAGGAATGACATTCACAGTGTATGCTCTTGTTTTAGTATGAAAATGTTTATGAACGAGATGTTCGTCTGGTTTATGAAGGACAGAATGCAATTCATCAGATGATAAGGTGAGATATTACAAAATTAATGAGCATGAAAACTTGGTAAGGCTAGATCCCAAAATATATTTGAGCATTAATGTGGATACTTCCACTATAGGGGAAAAATAAACAAACAACCAAACATCAAAGAGGGAATCAAAATGAGTCTGTAGCCGGTAAATTAGCGGCGTAATTGTTAACAAGAATTGATTTTACATCGCCACTGATCAACTTTGCTGAAAGCATTCTCCCACACGTAAAAAAAAATGTCCGCGTGGGCTAGATTACCCCTGAGAGCCGGTGAAACAGAAAGCATCTTAACAGTGGATCTTTAGAAATTGTTAAAATCCTTTATGCCAATCTGGCAGGAATGATTGATGGCTGATTGTGGAAAATTTGCTAATATTTGATAAACACCCGCACCAATCCATGCAACAGACAGCATAATTATTTCCCTGTAACTGGAACTTTCTGTATTTTTGCCGTTTAAGGTGGCTAGACTGGATTTTTTGGGGGGATACCTCCCAAGTTTGAGCATTAACTACGTCGCCATGAATAAATCCTCCCAAAAAAATCCAGTCGAGCCACCTTAAGTTTGATTAGAAGCCAATTCACAGGTATACTTTAAATAAATGTATAAATGTGTGATTTAACTATAATTTGGAGTTATACCCGTCCATGGTGAACTTAGAAAGTAGGGGGTGAACTTGTAAGGGGCTAATTCGCTTGGGGGCGAACTCACTGATATTCCTGTCTTTACTTTGTTGCAGCAACCTTCATAACAAAGTTGGGGAGCTTACAACACAAATCAACACACTATACTCATTTGTCACCTCAGATCATAACAAGTTGAGCCACGTGGTAACACAAGATCAAACTATAAACAGACAGGAAGTGAACACACTAATAAACATGCAGAACCAACTTACTGCTAAATTACACGAGATTAGGTAAGTACAAATTTCAAATTCACCAGTGGTGACGTAGCGGCAACGCCCGAACAAGGTCACTTAAAAAAGTAAAAAGCGCTGAAACCAAAAACACTTCTCGATCAGAACTTGTAATGGCAGAGCGTGACAGAAGTGTTGTCCAATAACCTAGGGATACCCAAAATTTTGTTTTATTTTCATGGAGCATTAAATTTTGGTAACACTGCCCCTTTTAATGGTTCGTGGAAAAAATGTCCGCAAGAAGTTTGAATAATGGCCATTCCTCTGAATTTTGTGCTGTTTAACATGAAGCTCGACCTCCGCAAACATCAACAGCGGAGTCCATTCCATTGAGAGATGTTGCGGAAGCACTAATCACTGTCATCAACGGTCATTCAATAATTTTCAGGGCTAAGCTCGTGAAACGGTTGTAAATATAACGTGCGTATACTCCCTTTAGCCTGCTCCGCTGCGGAACCAACATCAGAAGCAGGAGGCAGCTGTGTAGAGGCTTTTTCAAAATGGGAACCTTTACTTTTGTGACAATTTAATACTGAAATTTGTCCATTTTATATTTGACAGTAATTCTATAAATCAAGGAGGGAATATTGAAAGGAGAGATGTTGGAGATTCAGCTGGTGTAAACTCGAAGCTTAGTGATGTGCAGACTGNTGCAGCAACCTTCATAACAAAGTTGGGGAGCTTACAACACAAATCAACACACTATACTCATTTGTCACCTCAGATCATAACAAGTTGAGCCACGTGGTAACACAAGATCAAACTATAAACAGACAGGAAGTGAACACACTAATAAACATGCAGAACCAACTTACTGCTAAATTACACGAGATTAGGTAAGTACAAATTTCAAATTCACCAGTGGTGACGTAGCGGCAACGCCCGAACAAGGTCACTTAAAAAAGTAAAAAGCGCTGAAACCAAAAACACTTCTCGATCAGAACTTGTAATGGCAGAGCGTGACAGAAGTGTTGTCCAATAACCTAGGGATACCCAAAATTTTGTTTTATTTTCATGGAGCATTAAATTTTGGTAACACTGCCCCTTTTAATGGTTCGTGGAAAAAATGTCCGCAAGAAGTTTGAATAATGGCCATTCCTCTGAATTTTGTGCTGTTTAACATGAAGCTCGACCTCCGCAAACATCAACAGCGGAGTCCATTCCATTGAGAGATGTTGCGGAAGCACTAATCACTGTCATCAACGGTCATTCAATAATTTTCAGGGCTAAGCTCGTGAAACGGTTGTAAATATAACGTGCGTATACTCCCTTTAGCCTGCTCCGCTGCGGAACCAACATCAGAAGCAGGAGGCAGCTGTGTAGAGGCTTTTTCAAAATGGGAACCTTTACTTTTGTGACAATTTAATACTGAAATTTGTCCATTTTATATTTGACAGTAATTCTATAAATCAAGGAGGGAATATTGAAAGGAGAGATGTTGGAGATTCAGCTGGTGTAAACTCGAAGCTTAGTGATGTGCAGACTGCGATTGAATCACTGACTCACTCAGTAAACCATATGTCAACTCAACAACTAGTAAGGAACAAATTGTTCACTTCATACTTATACTTAAGGTTGGCTTAACACTGGATTTTTTCTTACGAGGTGAAGTCAGTGGATAAAACTCCCGCTTCTCTTGCCCGGGCCTCGCACGGATAATACGACCATCTTCCAATAAGCAAGAAAGAAATCATTCCTGATATCTACTTAGAGCTTCCACTCAAACTGCTTTCTTGTCCGAGCATTGAATTCCCTGGAAACACACGCTCTCTCTCGAGTTCTATCACGCTTTTGAAGTCCCACCTTATCAATTATGTACATGCCATCCTTTTTAGCTTCTGCATAGTTGTTTGTGATGCAGTTTTCTATCGCATTAAGTTTTCTTAGCGTCCAAATCTCACCCGTGAACTGATTTTTCTTTTTGTTCTTTCCTTTTCAGATGGGAGGGCAAGAAAAGAAAGATTGCCCCCCTCCTCCTCCAATGCCGCAATGTATAGGTCCTGGTTACTTTGTTGTTTTAATTGTATCTCAAGTTATTATGCTTGTTGGCTACATCGCCTACCAGAATCAAAAAGAGGCTGCAGCCAAGAAATTCTTTTAGGATTCTATCTTAAAGTGACCTCCCACAAACTGGTCTGGATTCCAGGCCTCGCACAGAGTGGTTGTCCCATAATTCTAGGCGTGCATGCACCAAAGGCTGCACTTTTAAGAAAATGTGGCGACAAAAATGTAAAGGATTTACCAAAAAATGTGTCAGAACAAATATTTGCACTTTTAATATTGAACTTGAAGGGACTGTGTCACGTGGCTCTGCTGTGGCTCATTTTCTTTACAATACCTAGTACTTACGCGTCCGTATTCCGGCGCTATGGATCTTGAGAAATTACTTGTATTATGGCAAAATCAGAGCTCTGTGTCAAACAAATATGCCTCCCTGGCATTATTTCAAACGTTACAATTGTTGAAAATCTGTAAGGCTTGCACTGAAGTTTTCAAAACAACAAGTGCAATCCGTTTCAGTTTAATTCAAGTTTGCATTCCGTGCCTCATGCCTTTTGTATTTTCTCTGTTATTTATACCTCTTTTTAACGTTTTATGTCGGTGGTTATTCTGAGGCAGTTCCCACTCTTTGAATTTAAATTAATTTCGTGGCACAGCTCCTGGCACAGCTCCTTTGAGCTGTGAGAATCGTATGGAATGACGTGAAATTTTTATTACTGGGGAAATGTTGGACAGCGTTTTTCTTTAAGTAAAGTGCTGGTTTGTTTTGAACGTTTAGTAATCTAGGTGTCCTGAATAATGTTTCACGCTAATGGGTATGTTAAAACAACAACAACAACAACAACAACAACAACAAACAAACAAAAGCCTGAAAGCCAATAAATGCGAATCTTATAATTGGATCCAACATTTTGTAAAATTAAATTTTTGTTAATCAAACGATTGCAGTTGGTAGTTGTCTCTTGAGTCTTGAGGCATACTAGCATTTTTAATTTTTTTTTCCAAATTTTGTGTCATTTGTGATAAATTAGGACTTTATTTTATTGCTTAGAATCCATTGCATATTTATCAATTCTCCCATTTAGCAAAGCTTCAGTCCCACAACTTCTTGTCCAGGGGAATCAAATGTTTTAATGTTCTATATTAGCGTGCCTGATTGGAGTGTTTGTAGGTGGATCTACGTCTCTCCAGGGCTAGAGAGAGGGAAAAAGAAAGCGCGTGGGGGACAATGGGAAGGGGAAAGAAAAACATATGAGAATGCCACCTAGTTCCAGTCTTTCTCGGAAATCCGGTGCCATCTTGAATGCATTATATGGCAGAGGTTGGCAGAGGCTCCCGCCTTTTCTCTCTTCCCATTGTCCCCCGCGCGCTTTCTATTTTTCGATTATTGCTATTTTTATTGGGATACCCAGCGGGAGCCTCGGCGGAGGAGCGAGGGTCTTCGTCAAATGCCCAGTTCAAGTAGCCTGCGAGCATGCTTTCCATCTGCGGCAGTCGGGAGAAGTCACGCGAGACCCACATGCGAGTAAGTGGTGCGTTATCCCTTGTCTCGCTTCGCTCGCCATAATTGGAGAGCTTGCTCGCTGGCTAAGTTCAAGCGTCGAAGTTTACATGTGAACAAACTAAATGCCAAATCGCACAAAATATGTCGTTCTCACTCATTAGCGTTAGGTTCGTCCCATGGGAAGTTAGACCTTTGACCCTGCCCAAGAACTCGATTCATTTCTCAAGCGTGACCATAAACATAACTATGATGCGTTTTCAAGCGTATTTTTCCCCTTCCGATGCATTAAATCATTTTAGACTGACATCATCGAGTATGTTATCCATAGTCTTTTTCGCATATTTATAGTTGAGGTCAGTGAGAATAATTTAGTTAAAAAATCAAAAACATTTAAAAAGGAAAAATAAGATGCCGGGCAGAGTTGTTCGAAGCCACGTTTCGTGTTTTAACTACCAGTTGCCATGGTAACATTAGCCTCGAAGTGTGACAGTCTCGACGAAGAGGAGATCAGTCTATTCCAGTCAGCTCTCCTCCCCATCCCCGCCCAATTGTTCTATTTTATTTTTGCGCCCCTCTGGACTGGAATAGGCTAGGAGGAGATAGAAAAAGCCTGTCTCACCCCTTCGAGATTGACTGTTTCTTTTTTCAGAACACAGCCTTATAACATCTGTTTCCAGGCTAAACGGGTTTTGAATAACTTGGTTCTGCTGCTGTCTTCCTTTCTGCGACAGTCTTAATTTTATCCCTGATATTTTCATCCTGGTGTCTTCGTAATCTTCAGATAGCTTGTAAACAATATTATGCATTTCAATAAAATAAAATTTTAGAATTGTTCGCAACTTCAGTGGATTTTAATTTCACTAGCTATGATTCTGCGTTAACCCTTAAGCCCTAAGAGTGATCGGTATCAAAAGTCTCCTTGTGATATCAATCCTTCATAGAACAGATTGGTGATGAGAATTAACGAGATGATCACACAAGATACTATGAGTTGACACTTCAAGAACTTCTCGCTACTACTTTTAGAGGAAACGTATGGGGACAGCAAACGGGAATTTGAATTTTGATATTAAGGCTTAAAAGGGTTAAATGGAGGAGGCTGACATTATATGGACTAGACTGCGAGCAGTCTCTCTTTTTCTTCAGATTTAGTGAGAGCAATGCACGCGCGCGGGAGCGGCGAAGCCGCGAGACGCGCGAAACGAGGGCGGCAGCCTGAGAAGAAAAAAGTGCCTCTCCCGTCTCGCGCCATCAGTCACGCGCGAGGCCATTTGCGTGTCTCGCGTTTTGCTCGACGGACTACAGAAAAAAGAGAGACTGCTCGTAGTCTATATATGGACAGCCGGGTAACCCCACCTAAGCAGGTTAATTACCTCACCTCTGGGGTACCCATGTAAACAGGCTTATCCAAGCGGAAACAGTAAGCTACGTATTAACGCAAACGGCCCAGGTGCCTTGCGCGCTTTAAAAATACCCATAATGCACCTGGGTAGTTGGTAGTCCCAGGATTAGAGTTTAATACGCTCTTGATTCTGCGCACTAAAAGGTAGCTTTCCATTCTTGGTTTGCAACCACGTGAGAAGGCGTCATGTTGGTGGTAAATACAAGAATTCATAGAATTAGTTAAGTTCAGCAAAGAGAGGTCCTTTTCTTCTTGACCCCTTGCATGGGCATACTTCCTTTTCCTCTTGATAGTCTTTTCAACGTACCTGGCTCAGTTTGGTAAAAAAATCAAAATGTTTATCAAAGGTGACAGGCAAGCGTGCTTACCGAGATGCTGACATCTCAAGAGCTAACCTTGCCAAGGTTAAGAACGCGCGAGCGAGAGGTCAAAGGAAGGTCTCGCTACGCGCCTTGTAAAACCAATTTTAAGAAAGAAAGAAAAAAAGCCTATCGTCTGATTTGCAGTCTAGTACTCCTCTGTTGTATTTGCCAGTTTGCTGACAATGCACATTGATATCCTGCTGATTTGCTGAATAGCATCTGCACTTCGCACCACGAAAATAGGTAAGAGGGAGAGTCAGGGAGCATCGAGACACCGAGGAGCGAGCCTACAGTTCTCGACAAAATTTTACATAAACGACCCATCCTTTCTGAAAGAAAAAACGTGTAGTCCACTCCATGAATTTTCTATCAATATGCGATTAAATTCTGGACTATTTTGGGCATGTAGGCGTTTAATTATATTACTGCTGCACTTCGGTAAACGATCGAGTTTTAGTGAAATATTCTCCTACTTTAGAGTCTACCGCGTGACATTAACCCATTCGCTCCTGAAAAGCTAGTCAAGCCGTTTTTTGTACGTGTCTGGCTAAGAACCAAAACGCTATATATTGTTAAGTCGAGCATTGTGGTCACTTTGCTGCCTTCGTTCCTGATGCTTTAATTTATCAGCTTCCGAGGTTCGGGCACGCGTTTCTACTACTACAGCTTATTACCGCTTACATACTTTTTAACGCTTTCGCATGATCGAAAAGACCAATGCACCTCTACTTCTACTTACTTTCTCTCTCTTTCACGCTTTCACATCGAAAAGAAATAAGTAAAAGTAAAAAGAGAAAAGAGTAATTACAAAACTTTAAATAATTTTCTGCTATAATTACCCTGCGAGCAGAGGATGCATTTTCGTGGTATGAGCTGGCGTGCGAGCTTCAGTATACCGCGAAAATGGTATGCTCTAATCGTCGAGGCGCAGAATTTCAAATTTTCGGGTTATCTCGTGTATTTTACCATGGGCGGATCTAGGGGTTGAAATTTTGTATTATTTCTAAGAATTATCAGTAAAATAAATAGTACTGTCTAAAAAGCTGCCAAGTGTCCCGGCCACCCCTTTCTAAACTATCTCGATCCGCCCTGTTTCCTTTCCGCTTTTTCTCCCTCCCGTCTCTTTGACTTAATTTTTTGGGGAAAACAGTGAGGAATTTCAGACTTTAGGATAAGTTTGAAGGAAGTGCAGGGGGGTATAAAGTGGAAAGAAAGGCAGAAAGAAAGAAATACACTTTATTTGAGTGTCAATGTATTTAGTACGAAAGTACTAATTGGGGACACTATTTTTTACGTCTTCTACTGGAGACGGGACCTCCATTTTACGTGGTCATCCGAGCCACGCAAAGGTCTAGCCATTTGCAGGGCAAAGGTAGTACCTTTGCTACCCTTACCCTTACCTTCATTTCTCAGTTATTTTAAGACCCTGAGTATTGGTCCGGTCCCGGTAATCGAACCCGCGACCTCCTGCTCTGCAGTCAAGTGCTCTTCCGACTGAGCTTATCCTGATTTTAATCGGGTCTACTTCACATAATGATGGTGTTTTGCCACCTGACCTGTTTGACTGAGTCGTCAAGGAGTCGTGCTCATTCGAAAATGGTTTGAAAGATCTCTTCACAAAGTTATCTATGACCTTTTAAAACGGATGACGTCACAAGCAGTACAAGGATATTAGGGCCATTTATACGAGGAAAAATAAGACGCGTCTTACATAAGACGCGAACTTTCCGTATAAACGGCATATGTCGTCTAAAATAAGACGCGGCTCAGCTAAGAGGCGTCTTATTATATAAGACATGCTCGTATAAATGGTACAGTTGCGTCTTATTTTTCCTCGTATAAAGTGGCCCTATTGAGACTATTAAGACTAGTACAAGACGTACAACTGTCAGACTTAATCTTGGATCTACCTCTCTTAGTGTATTGCTTGTTTCATACCCCACTACCTAAGATATATAACTTAAAATAATTAATATAATGTTATATCATAGCAAATATAATTTTAGATTTCATTTTTGGGAGTTGACATTGAAAACTCTTAGTTAAGCCAAATCCCTTCACTTATATATCTTTTAGTTTCTGTTATCTATATGCCTGTCTAATTGTAATGTTAAAACCCATTATTTTTTATTAACCTGTGTATTTCCTTTGTAAAGTGAAATAAAACCTGCCTTGAATCCACACAGGCAGGGGAAAGGATGTGGATGCGTTAATGAAACCCAAAAAACAAAAAAGATTAATTTTTCTTAGTACACCAGTACATGTAAAACTTAAATGGAATAGTTTCTAAAGGAATTCCCTTATCTTTAAAATGCTTTTTAGTTACATCATTGAACAGATCCTGGAAATCTTTCTTAACTTTTTCACTCCCACCTGCTAACTGAGAAAAAGATGAGAACATCTTGAAAGCATGATCAAAAGAACTTGTTCTAGAATATTTGAAGTCTATACATTCCTCTGGGTTGCTAAATAAGCCTTGTGAGAGATCAGTGAACACTTTTCTCCACTCTTGCATGAAAGGAAAAACCAGATTATAGTTCTCATCTAAAATACGAAGAAAATTTTTTATCTCTTT